CTTTTGGAGAAAGGGAGGGGAAAAATGTTAGGGGGTGGGGGAGAGGAAAAATAAAAAAAAAAAAAAAAAATTTTTTTTCTAAAAAAAAATTTTTCCCCCCCTTCCCTTTTTCCCCCCCCCCCCCCCCCCCCCCCCCCCACACAAATCCTTTCTTTCGAAACTTTCAGTTGCGGGCCAGGAACTTGGTTACTAGAGATGTCAACAAATTATCCTCAAAGTTCATTCACGGGCATTGACATATCTCCCATATATCCTGGTGATATCAAACCGCGGAATTTAACATTCTACACGGAAAATGTATTAGAAGGTTTACCATTCGCAGATAATACCTTTGATTTTGTATATATAAGATTCATGATAACTGCTTTCACGGTGGACGATTGGCAAAATAAAGTCGTAAAAGAATTAATTCGAGTGTGTAAACCTGGTGGATGGGTGGAATTTATGGATGGCGATTTGTGTTTCAATTCTGAAGGTCCAGCTGGAAAAACACTGATGGATGCATGTAAGTTGATTGATTCTAGGTAAAAGAAATGAAAAAGTTGAACGTGATAATAATTGATATTAACTTCGTGCCTTTCTTCTTATCAGTCCGATCAATACTTGTATCTAAGCAAATTAATCCCAACATAACCAAATGCCTTTATCCTCTCCTATCTTCCATGCCAACTATAACATCTTTATCATCCGAAATAAAACCTGGTCCTATTGGTAGTTGGGCGGGAAGAATAGGCGAATTAGCGAGTCAAGATTTTTCACAAATCTTACATGCTATGAAACCTATGTTGAGTAAAGTAATTGAATGTACTGAAGAAGAGTATAATGAGTTGGTTGAAGAATTTGAAAGAGAGTGCAATTCGAATAAGACCAATTTTGTACATTTTAGGTTCTTTGCAAAGAAAAAATGATTTAAATTTATTAAATTTGGTAATTTTTTATGTAGATCTAATTTTAAAAACATTTTGTATAATAACCATTCTGCAAACACTTTTAATATTCTCTATCAAAAAAGAAAAAAAGAGGGGGCTAATGGTTTTAGGGTGTTTATTTTTTTTTTCTCTTTCTCTTTTTTTAATTTTATTCGACTCGTTTTAGCTAAATTCAAAAAAAAAAGTAATGTACATTAGTTCGTTTCTTTTTCAATTTTTTAAATATGTATATTAATTAATGTTGATATCTTATGATATTCAAAACGTAATTAATACAAACAAAATTTTCATCATTTGTTTTTTTTTTTTTTTCTTGTTTATGTATTGAGACAAAAAATCTAATTTCACAATACAATATGTAAGGGGCAAGTTTATTTTTTTTTTTTTATTTTTGAAACAAAAATTAAAAACGTCTTGACACACGTTCATTTTTTTTATATTCCATATCAATGTGCTTTTACATGAATGAAAAGAAAAAATTAAAAAACCAATAATATCCTTGCATAAAACGTAACGTTATTACCACTAAAAGTTGCAAAAGTTATCAATTCAACAACTGAGAGTTTCAAATTTTTTAATCTGTGCACCCAGTAATTACTGCTGTGATCATTTGATTTGAAGTTATAAAACACAAACTAATATGGCTAATCATACAGATATTTGCGTCACAAAACATCATTTTTTAATTCAAATTCAACGAAAATTCATTTTTATGGAGAACAGAAAAAGAGTAATTTGAATTACCGTTTTATTAAAAAGCTGAAGAATGTGGTTTATTGACAGAAAATTACCTCAGTACGATAAATATGGCTTTCCGTATGAAAAATAAAAAATTCGAATAAAAAATTCGAATCGAAGTTTTGTATTCGAATATTGAAAAATCGAATCATTTTTATATTATTATTATTATTATTATTATTTTTATCCTCTTTCTGCAAAAGAACCCTCGCAAGTCTTACCCTAGAATCGAGAAAGAGAAAGATCCGTTCTTTAAAAAGAAAGTTGCTGAAAAAAAAAAATTTGAATAATCATTCCGATATTCGTTTGATATTTGAAACTCAATTTGAATTACAAACGGAAACCTATTCCTTCTTTTTTTATTTTTATTTTTTTTTTCAAGGGACGTTTTTATCACAATTATTATGTCAATAAAATTCATAGTAACGAATTCTATTGAGAAAATTTAATAAAATTAGAAGCTCCAACGTTTGAATGGTTATACCATAATTATTTAAAAAGGTGGATTAATTCTAATGGTTTAGAATGTTCAAATGTGTAACAATTATGTAATCATTTTGGAATCAAGTTTACCAATTATTAATATTAATACGTTAAAGGATACTAAAAAAAAACTTTTCCCCGAACCTTTCTTTTTGGTTAGCCTTTTTTTGGTTAACTTGAATTTTATAGTCACGTGACACTGGATGTCATGCAAATGGAAATTAACAATGTAATGTTGAACAGAAAAAGATTGGGCTGAAGATGTGCATCTTCATACAAGCAAGAAGAATGAACACTTATTTAAACGAAAATAATGAATTAACTTTTACAGCGATTACCGATTTACACAAATTTTCGGATTTAACCTTTTACGTTGGTACATTAATAAAGAAAAGGCTGAGGCATATTAACGTGATTTTCACCCAAAAGATGAGGATCCACTACATATTATATAAATTATATATTGTCACGTTAATCCCACTTACGATTTTCTGCTGATCGAATTTTCCAATTTCGGAATACACGTGTAAAAATAGTAATTGATTATTTTAATCTATGGAAAGTTCCCAAGAAAATTTTTAATTTTTTTAATTTTAAATATTATTACAATGAAAATTTAATTTAATAAAAATTCTCAGAACCTGATCTTCCTAACAATATAATTTAATAATTGATATTTGCTTTGACAAGATTACGTTATATCATAAACATTTATTCAGAAATCTTTACCTAATAAGCTCCAACGCTCCAACGCGCCAAGAATTCTCCATGTACAATTTCGTGATATCCTTGCATTATGATGAAAATATCGAGCATTGATATCGCATCAAAATTGTCAACTCATAAGGATATAAATAAATAAATATATATATATATAATAGATATGACCATTTTATTTTATCAAAATGTGTTACAAAAAATTCGATATTTTATTATAGAATAATGGTGGAAAGGTTAATTATAAGTAAATTATAAGTAAATTCATTTCTCTCATGTTCTTAAAATTTTAAATAATTATAAAATAAAATATTTTATTAAGTTTTAAAAATATATTTTAGTATTATGATAACAAAAGGTTTTGATTTTTACGGTATTCTTACTGATTAATTAAAATATTAATTATTAAAATATTAAACTATTAGAAATAAAATAAAGTGTTCCTAATAATAGGTTTATTTTAAATTTAAAGTTAAATCTTTATTTTCAAAATTTTAAATAAGAATTGGTATTTTTATTTCTGTTTTTTCTCTAAACCTTTCTATAAAATATATTAATTAATAGTCTGCGTTAATATCCGAAATGCGCATTTGGATATCCCCAAATCGGAATGCCCGCAATTGGGATATCCGAAATGCGCAATTGGGATAACCCAAAATGCGAAGATCATTTGGGGGATATTCGTTTGCCCCAAATGCGCATTTCGGATGAACACTTCGGATAATGTCCTGTTTTAACCCAAATGCGTTAATGTCCAAAATACGCGCATTCCGATTTGGGATATCCCAAATGCGCATTTCGGCATTAACGCATTTGGGTTAAAACACCTCCATCTGAAAATCAACAAGTAAAGATGTGGGAGAACAAGAAACCATTTGAAATTTAATGTTCTACTGCTTTTGTGCCTCAACCAAGCATTCGCAAACATTAATCCAATTGAGATTCTATACCTAATAGTGAAGAAATTGATGATCAAATAAAACTTAACAAAAATATCAAGGGTGAAATCAAAAATGAACATGGTCGCGACAAACTTCAACGAGAAAAACGAGAAAGAAAAATAACTTTTGATGAGGTAAATACAGAATAGATTGACGTAATGATGACAATATGACAATTGATCAGTAAAAAAGGAAAATTCATAAAGATCATCACGTGAGAGATCTGAACTAATAAAATATGATATTAATAGAATATGCTATTTATGAGTTAACCATTAAATAAAAATTAATATTTGTTTGGCTTAAAAATCCTAAAAAAAATTTTAATATTAGATTACAATATGGGACAAAAATAGTTTTGGAAATTCATTAATCTAGTATCAATTGTTGTTATTGTTGTTTAAAGTTCAAACTGTCGTTGAACAAAGGGCTATGTAGTGTAAGTTACTAATATTGATATAAAATAACGATTTCTCAGCTATCTTCCGAAAAAAAAAAAGATTTTTTACGTAAGTGAACTCGTAAAAAAAAAAAAAATTATCAAAAATGGGTGCTGTAAGGTTATACTTTACCTATATACTATTTCTTTACATTTTATTTAATAGTCAAGTATTAGCAATGTGGCCAATTCCACAAAGCTGGTCGATAGGAAGCGAAACATTGAAAGTATTTCCAAGCTTTGATATAAATTGTGCAAATATTGAGACCTCCGAAGAATTAACTCAACAAATTTTTGAGGGAGCAAAAAATCGGGTTAAAGAATTTTTGACAGATGAAAATTATGTTTCACCAAATGTTCATTTTGAAACCCCTGAGAATTCATTGACATTACATTCTTTGACCATCGAGATCACCGGTGATAAATCATCAAAATTGGATTTGGGTATTGATGAATCATATGAATTAATGATTCCTTGTACCAATGATAAGAATGATAAACCTTTGATCGCTCATCTTAAAGCTGCAACAATATTTGGAGTTTTACATGGACTTAATACATTTACACAACTACTTTATTCTAATGAAGAGAAAAATGGGTTGTTTTTGCCTTTTGCACCTCATAATATTAGCGATTACCCTAGATTTCCTCACCGTGGTCTATTATTGGACACCGCACGAAATTATTATCCTGTTAATGATCTATTAAAAATGTTGGATGTTATGAGTTGGAACAAGTTTAACGTATTTCATTGGCACGTTGTCGATGCACAAAGTTGGCCCGTTAAAAGCGAAGTTTATCCGGAATTAAGTGAAAAGGGTGCTTATGATCCAGAAACCATGATTTATACTAAACAGGATATTAAAACTATTGTAGAATACGCTCATCATGTAAGATACAATATAAATCACGAAATTCTTTTTGCATCATTGTAACTAATTTTTCTTTTGTCATTTAGAGAGGAATTCGTGTCATCCCTGAATTTGATATGCCAGGACATACTTTTGCCATCTCTTATAGTATGCCCGAAATAATTACTTGTCCAGACGTTCAACCAAATTGGAATGATTTTGCCGCTGCTCCTCCAAGTGGTCAAATAAATCCAGTATTACCGGCGACTTATGAATTCTTAAATAACTTAATTCCAGAAATGACTTCATGGTTTCCTGATAAATTTTATCATGCTGGTGGCGATGAAGTAGTGATGAATTGTTGGAATACAACTGATTCAGTTATAGATTACCTCAAAGAGCACCCTAACGATACTTCCGAATCTTTATTGGGAATGTTCATTAATGAACTTCACTCAATTGTTAGGAAAAGTGGTAAAACTCCCATTACATGGCAGGAAATGGTGGTCGAACATAATTTACCTTTACCTAAAGATGTTATTGTTCAAGTTTGGACGACTCAAGAAATTATTAAAAATGTTACCGAACGTGGTTATAAAGTGATTACTGGTAGTGCCGATTTTTGGTATTTGGATTGTGGTCATGGTGGTTGGGTTGGTGATAATCCTAATGGAAACAGTTGGTAAATATTTAAATCGAGTACAGTACGTTTGAAAGGTATTTAGAAATTTTCTCAATCTAAAATTTCTTTTTCTTCTTTAGGTGTGACCCTTTCAAACATTGGCAAAGGATCTATTCTTATAATCCAACTATGAATCTTACGAAAGAGGAGGCTAAGCTTGTTATAGGAGGTATGTTACATTTATAATTTCGCGTGATTTCTCTTTTTGACTTTGATTTGTTTCTCAAAATAATTGTCATCTTTATAGGCGAAGCATTATTATGGTCTGAACAAGCTGATCCAACAAATTTCGAATCGAAATTATGGCCAAGGGCATCATCGGCAGCTGAAATCTTATGGTCAGGAAATTATGATGAAAGTGGCAATCTACGAACTACAAAGGAAGCGTTACCTCGTTTAAATGATTGGAGGTTCAGAATGGTAGCAAGAGGAATAAAAGCGGAACCACTACAACCATTGTGGTGTGTTAAAAATCCTGGCAGATGTGATATGCCACCAGCATTAAAAAAAATTGAAGGTTATTATTTTTTATTATTATTATTTTTGTGTCCATTATACGAGTATTTGAAGAAATTAAAGTTAATTTAAACTATTTCAAATATTTCAGACTAAATTTTTATAACTTATTATACTAACAGCATGGTAAATATTTTTTTTTTTTTTTTTTGACATGATTGAAACATTCATTTTGTAAAATCTTAACGTTCCAAATGTCGTTTCTCTTAAAAACATTTTTAGAGAGCTAAATTATTTTCGAAATATTATTTTTATTTGGTGATAAATATATAGATGTATGCAAAATTTTCTATTTGTATTTTATTCATCTTCCTCAGAATTCACACCATAGAATCTTAAAGTACGGTCTAGACCACCTACATACAAAATCTTTGCCAATTCACCGAATTTCATGTCTGTAACTTCGGCAGTATTATCTGTAAAATTTGCCAATTGATTCCATGATTTTGCTTGATAAATCCTGGTTAAAAGAATAAAAATTAAGAAAAATATCATTAATGATAATATAAAATTTTGTAATTATTTAATTTATAAATATATATTACCTAACATCAGTTCCACCAACGGCCAAATATTGACCACTATAATCCCAGCAAACTTTATTGATTTTTGCTCCCTCATCAAGTTGTATAGTATGGAAATTTAATAACTTTCTCAAATCCCATAATTTGACTGCGTTATCCTCAGATGCTGTTGCTAAATAATAACCATTTTCTGAGAAAGAAATCGAAGTAATACGTCCAGTATGACCGGTAAACGATGTGACATTCTTCTGCACTTTAATGTCCCAAATGCGTACTATTGAATCATTCGTTCCTGTTCCCAAGATCAGACCGTCAGGATGAATCTCAACGGTCGAGTAACCATTTGTCACTTCATTTGGTTCGATCTTGGACAAAGTTTGAGCGGTATTAATGTCATGGAAAGCCCATGTCGAATCATCTGAAACGGATACCAAATAATCTTTGGTCGCATGTACCGCGATGCCAGTAACTTCAGCGGTATGTGTCGACAGAATTGCCGAGGTTTTGTAATCTTTACTAGACTTTTGCCATATTCTGATGGTCTTATCAGCACTCGCGGTGAATGCGGTGTCATAACCTTCCTCATTAGGTTTTCCAAGCCATAATGCATCTGTGATCTTTTTTGTGTGTCCCTTTAGCTGACCGGTCACTTTACCATCCTGTTCATTTAATATGAATCCCTTTTTGTCGTTACCACCTGTAAGAATTAGTTGTTCCGTTGAATCAACGTCCATACAAGTTATTCCAGGCTTGGTTGAAGAATGTAAAGAACCAATTGATGATGTTTGTGTAAAAGATTTAATTGCATCGACTGAAGTAAGTTCCGGCGGCGGTTTTCTTTTCTTACGATTTTTCGATAAACTATATAATTTTGAAGAGTTAAAGTGAGTTCATATGTTGAGATTCAGTTGCATCTCTTCACCTTAAATAAATAATATACATACACGGCGCTAGTTTCATTTAATTTATTAATAACGACTTCGTTGATGCCCTTATCTTGTTCTTCAATTTCCATTGGTTGACTTTCCGTCGCAAGGGATTCTGGAAGTGGTTTTGTAGCGATGTGCGCTTGTACATTGGCCAAAGCTCTGATGTGATTAAAAACGATCAACATTAAGATCCACGCACAAAAGAAAAGAATTCAATATGGAAAATTATCTCACTCTCTAGCCGCATCTCGTTCTTTTATAAGTCTGGCGATAACCCGGCAGGCAGCATCATGTTGATATAAGGCATGACTTAATTCCTGTCGAACTTGTTGATATTGTTGTTTAAGGGTAAAAGTTTCCAACATCAGACTGTCCCATTCATTCTGAAAGACTGACAGTAAAGATGGAATTGATGTCAAGGTAGCAGGTCTTGGCTTTACGGTCTTTGGACCTGATCATAAAAAAACAATATTATCATTAATGAAATCGATCCATTTAATCCCAAAAATTTAAATATTTGAGAATTGGACTCAGATAGTAATTTTTTTAATCAAGGTTTTTCAGAAACAGCTTCTAGTTGTATTTTATATTTTGTTTTTTTTAAGGTAATCATCATGACGTCCAATTTGTCTCCACACAAAACTAAAAAAACTCACTCGCTTTTATTTCTAACAAGTCACCCTCTTCTATATCTTCTCCGGTGATCGGATCTTTACCATAGTCGGCAATATATTTTATGATCAACCTTTTTTCATAAACCTGTCCGGATTTTTTTGAAACTACAGGATCCTGTGGTGGTTCTCCAGAAACTTATTTTTTAAAAAAAAAATCAGCATAACTAATTGCAAAATTAACATTACTTAAAACTATTGAAGAACATGGACACTCACTGGCACAGAACATGATGTATCGTATTAGATCCGATTCACAAAGATTGAACGTTTGGAGAACTCGAGGATTTTGAGTAAAAAAAATAAAAAGTGGAAATTAATTTGATTAGTTACACACGGTTGATTCAACAAAGACCATCCATATAAGGAAAGGATGCATGATGACAATCGGGCTTGCTTATATCCCGACATTCAATTGACGGATTCCATGGAATATCTCACGTGATCATTCGAAAAATTTTCGAATGTGTTCTTTTTGCCATAAATAGAAACGGTATAGTCATAATTGTCTTGTTTAGCCAGGTTTTGTTTATTTTGCATCAGAATTCGACCTTATCCTTTAAAACTTTCAACCTTCTCTTAAACATTAAGTGAAAATGTCCCAAACCATTTCGTCATTACTGGGCCGAGGCCATCAAAATAATTTTAAACTTACGGAAAAACAGAAATCCATAATGATCGGCAGTGATGACTCATGTCGTAAAGGATTCATATGCAGCGAGACGTATCTTGCACCATTTCACTGTCGAATTTATTTACAGCATGATAAAATACACGGCTGGAAAACTTTCATTCAGGAAAAAGCCATGAACCCACAAAGATATGTAACTATGGTCAATAAGGATAGACTGAAAATGCGTGAAACACGTTGGTTGTGGGATGGTGAAGAAGTTCAAATCGGAAGGGGAGATAATTTGGAAAATTTGTTAAGTTTTGTATTCCAAAATGATCTTGTGAGAGGAAATAAAATGAAAATGATAGAGGTCCCAAAATATTTAAGAGAACGATTCAATAATTGTCAAGATGACATAGGCTTTGGTGCGCATTCGGTCATACATCGCGCATTTGAGACAAAACTTGGGGAAACAAGGGAATGCGTGTGCAAAGTCGTTACTTTAACGAAAAAAGTCTCAAAAGAATGTTTTGAAAAACTGTGTCAAGAACCCAAACTACTTGATTCGTTAAATCACTCTAATATCATAAAAGTTCTTGGATATCATATAGGGAATAACCCGGACCGGTTACTAATTTGGCAAGAAAAGATGTATTGTGATTTGGAAAAATATTTTCAAAGGGAACAAATAATTAACCCAAAAAAATGGTATAATATATCGTTTCAAGTGTTAGATGCACTAAAATATTTACACGACAAAGGTATCGTGCATCGCGACATAAAGCCAGAAAACATAATGTGGACAAACACCAATTTTTCGGTATTGAAATTAATTGATTTTGGACTCGCTAAAAATTACAAAAACGAAACCGAAAGAGATAATGAACAGGTCGGAACGCCTCTTTATATCCCTCCAGAAATTTATCGCGCGTCATTTACCGAGATCAATGATCTTTACAAACCACCGGTTGATATTTGGGCTTTCGGAATTTTATCATTTAGATTTTTAACTGGTCAAAACCCATTTTTTGAGAAGGAAAAGGTTGATATAAATGCGGTACGAGATAAGGTCCTCAAAGAAGGAATTTCCAAAGTACCATTAATGGAGAGACGAATAAATGAGCGAATAATCGAATTGATAATCGAACAACTGCTGGATTATGATCCCAAAAGTAGAGTGACAGCAAATGAGGTAATGGGTATTTTAACAAACTTGCAAAAGTTATTTGAATAATTAATTGTTTAGGTTTATTTTTTATTGTCTGGTTATTATTTTTCTTTTTTTCTCATTAAAAAAAAAAAAAAATTAAAATTAAAATTAAAATTTATCATATAAAAAAGATATTCTAGTCGCTCGCTTATGCACTTGTATTTAAATTGATAATAATAAAATGATGATGTCTAAATTTCACGCAAAAGTAAAAAACAAAAATTATATTATTTTATTATTTTTCATAATTCGAATTCGAATTCGAATAAAGTATTAGGTTAGGTTTAGATATCATTATTATTTCAGGAAATCCCATTAAGCGATGGCCTTTTCACTAATTTCTTTGACAATTTGTTTTTCGCGCTCTTCATTATTGGTTTCTTTGACTCTTAATGCGACAGCTAAAGCACCTGGAAAAGCTACCGCCAACAATATCCAACAAATTATTAATTCGTCCAAGAAAGAAATCCCAAGTGTGTCGATTCGCCACGAAATTGCTCCTCCAGCAGATTGAATCGTTTTATAAAAACTACAAAACAAATGACGAAAAATTTAATGGTTAATGTTTGTTTTTTAATGAATATTACCTTAGTATGTATGTAGTAATAATGAAATTACCCCGTGAAACGTGCAAGCTCATTGACGTCGTTTGAGAGAGCTCCCATAATCCAATAAGCGTAAATCTAAAAGAATAATGGGAGTACATGTAACGATTAATATATGAATCAATAAATGATTTCATTCTTTTCCTCTTTTATTTTTATTTTATAGTTTACCTGGTACATTGCATCGTTCATTCCGTATGCAATGTAAAGAATTAACTTTTCGGCATATTTGCTATCATATATATCAGAACCCGTGATATTATGAACCCTGGTAAATGTTAATTGGAAAAATAGACCTCCGATCCAAGTTGCCATGACCGTGACTAATAAGATAAGTAATCCTACGAGCCCTCTATTTTTTCTTTTTAATAAAGTAGTATCAAGGAATTTACCAAATACTAAGGCACCTAGAATTTGTGCTGCCCAGTACCATAAATTATTAAAAGCCCTTGTTCGAACATTGAAGTAATTCGCGTTTACCACATTAAATTGATAGGCATAAAACCAGTTGCTAGCGAGGAACATTGGAGCTAAGGCCAACATCTTCCAATTAAAAAATAATTTAGCGACCCCAATAATTTCATCCTTCCATTTAGGAAATTGTTGCAATTTAACGGGTGTTCCATCATCATGGGTTACTTTATGCGGTGGTAACAAAGCAGCAGCCAACACAGCACCACCTGCCATTAATACCAAGAAAGCGATATATGTTCCATCATTTACGGATCCGCTGTTAACTTGATGCCAATTTAGCCCGATTGGGATCAAACTTCCCAACACACCGCCCATATTGAAAATGACCCAAAATAATCCGATATATTTTCCTTTGTTTTCTTCGGTAGGATAAGATAACATGATGGCACCTTGACCCGTCCACAAGAGAGCTGCGCCAAAACCAAGGATGGCACCAGATATCACGGTGAAGACTTCACTTTGGTGGTGATTATAATAAAGCAACGAACCCGAATACAAAGCGTAAGTAGAACCACCAAGGATCAATGAAATTGATGGGCCCAACTTATTAACAATCGGTCCTGCTAATAATCCTCCTATGGAAAAACATGTGTATAATGCTACACTTGCATTTGAAGCAACCGTGGTGTCAAGCTGCCCCCCTCCTCCCATTCCGCTCAACGCATTGTACATGCCGGACGTAAGCAAGCACACGACCCCTACGAACGATGGGTAAATTTTTTTTAAAAAAAAAAGTCGGCAAAAATTTTGTGCGGTTGTAATTTCAACATCTTACGTCATAACTTACCGACAATTATCACTTGAATTAATGGACTTGTATATATTTTCTTCAAAGCTTTCATTTTTAATAATATTTTTTCATCAAATTTAAAATGTTCAAAGGATTATAAATCGATTCATTTATATCAATTTAAGTTCCGGCATTTTCACCCAAAACAAGAATAAAACGAATGTATTAAATCTCAATTATAAAAGGGTGAAAAAGAAGATCTGTCGGATAAAGTCTATTAAAAGTTAAGATTTCGAAGATTAATGATTTACACGTGAGAAAATTTGGCGGTGAATTATACCAATTTAGAATTTATTTTGTTTTTTATTTGAAAGAATACAGAATCGATTAATATTTAAGTAAATTGTATTGGCGTGAAGTTAACGAACATTTATACGATGAAATTGGATAAATCAAATCGAAGAGTATAAAATATTACCAATAAGTTGCTATATTTCCAAATGAACTTACTGGATTGATCAATTGAAATATATGCATGTTGATAATCGAGTCTTTTGGGTTAGCTCCTTTTGGAAATGATAGTATATCTATTATTAAAATAGTAATTTCATCGCTCGTGTTTACATTTTTTTTTTTTTTTTTGGTCCATTCAAAATGTGATGATGTACGAACAATATTGCTCAAGTGACTTTTAAAATAATTTTCTTGAGTAGGTTCGGGAATACTTGTTAAATATAGAAAATTAAAGGACTAGACATTACCTGCAAATCTCGGAGAATCAGTCCAGGTATGGTTCTGTCGATAGTCTTTCTCAAGAAGTAATCATTGTTATGGATAAATATTTCAACTAAAAGAAGATATTCGAATCTAAAGTTTATGGCTTTACTTTTTTTATCGATTTTTTTTTTTTCCTTTAGTATCTAGAGAGAAAGGTTCCTAAAAAATAAGTTAAAAGGAATTGTTTAAAAAAAAGAAAATATTTTGAATATAACGACCTCTTTGGCAGCCAATATTCTAAAAAAAAACCATACTAAATTTATGAAATGAAAAGTATTAGTGATCATGTATTATTTAAACATAAGTTGAGGCTGAGATCAAAGATGCAACATAAATTTTAAGAAATTTCGATAACGAAGAATAAAAGCTCAAAATGAATCTTTTTTCTCATTATATATTGTAATCCAAGAGATCTGAGAAGCAAAATGCGTGATCATCAAAATGTAATGATCAGCAGAAACCGAAGTATCAGTTCATGATGACAGCCGACGCCAAAACGAGAACTGAAGGAAAGACCGTGCAGATCATTTTCATATTAAAAATTTTTGTGTACCTATAATTGACTCTATAGTTTACCACTTATACAGTGCAGAACCTCTATAATAGGAACTTTGTTAAAGTAAAAATAAACAAATTTAAATGCAAAAAAAAATTTTATTATATATAAAATTAAAAATTTAATCCATAAAATAAATAAATCATAACCTGTACTTTAAAATTCTTGGATTATAATTTTAATATCTTCAATATTGATAAAGTTATATCAGATTAAATTTATCTAAAATTAATTATAAAAACTGAAATTAAAAAAAATATGTGATAAAGAATTTATAAGAAAAATTCTTTTATTATTTATATATTTTAACTTAAATTTTATTATAAATTGAAATTATATAATAATATATAGTGTATAATAAAAGAAATACAAAAAATATTATAATTATATATAGTTTGAATTATAATAAATTATTCCTAAAACATTAGATTCAGTTCTTTTAATTACAATTCAAAAATATGCAAAAAATTATAGCAATATATAAATATTTATAGAAAAGGTATTACTAAAATGGTAGAGTTTGCAATTAAAAAATATAAGTTTTATTATTACATACTGTATCTGATACAATTTATAATATAATAATAAAATAAGATAAAATAAATTGTTTTATATGATTTTTAATTCTAGTTTCTGATTGCGTATATATATGTTACATAATACTGTAATTTACAAAATTGAAAAAAAAACTTTTTTTATAAATTTATTCATTTTTACAAATATAAATCAATTTTTTTATTGATTAAAATCTAATCAGTAAATTAAATTTATTAATGTTTATTTAAGTTTCTATTATTGAAGTTTTACAGTATTAATTAAGAAATTGATAGATTATTATGTGCTCAATCAATTCTAATCCTTTTAGAAGATTACATTTACGCAAAATTTTACTTTAAAAATAAGTTTTTTCAAGATCTTCTAATAAGTAGATAAAAATATATATGTAATTTTATGGGATAAGAATATTCTTTTGGATTACAGAGTGTGTTATTCAATTGGATTTTATATAAAATATTAAAAATTGATTTTTTAAATAAAAAAATGAATTTTTATATTATAAAATTTTATGGTGAAAAGTTTTTAGTAAATACTTTGAATTTAAATACAATTTGGCTGAAATAATAACTTTATTAAATATAAGTAATTTATATTTTTCTTTAAATAATACTATTAAGTTAAACAAACAATATTAATAAAATACTAAAAAAATATGTAAAAATAAAAAAGTTTATTAAATAATAAAAAAATAATATATTTTACTATTTAAAATTATATATTAAGTGCAGTAAACTTAATTTCTTATTTCTCAGGATCGCTGATCCTAAATCATGAGCTGAGAAAAATTTTTTATATTATAATAAACTTATATAATCAAATTATCTAAACTTTAAGGCATTGTTCTTATTTTACTTTAATATAAAATTAATATAAAATAAGCTTAAACTTATTAAGGAAAATTTAACAAAATTATTTTTATTAATTCTAAATATGCATTTTATGCATTTTTAATAATCACATATATACAATATATTTTTCAAAGTATATATACTTCTTTTTAAATTCTTTTTTCACATTTATTTTCTCACTAAAAAAATTGTTTTTCCTCTTTTTTTTTATTCTTTTTTATTATTGATAACTTTTACTTTACACATTTCATAATATGAAAATATGGATCTTTTTGAATTATATCTTCTTTACCACTACACCTACAATAAATATTAAAATATATTCCTATTGAAAAGTAAAGTATTTCTATTTGACTATTATAAATATTTTTTGCATTTACAAATACCACTTAAAATAATTTTTTAATAGAATTATTGTTCTTATCATAATCCTTTTGATACTTATACATATTATCATTCTCATTAACTATTGTATTTTTATTATCATCATCTATATTTTCTATTGTATTTTTCTCATCCAATAAATTTATTTTTTCAGTAATATTACATATTTTATTATTCATTATTACTTGTCTCCTTAAGGATTATAAGTTACACATATTGTTAAAAATATCATTATATATATATTTAATGTTCTCCAATATATTTGATAATAATTAATATTCAGTTTTAGTAAGTTTACGTATTGCATATATATATATGTCTTTTATTATATACATAATATTTAACTAATAAATGAACATTCTTTACATATTATGCTTTAGAATTAAACTCTATTTCATTACCAGTTTACCTTGCCATTTTTTTAAAAGCTATATTACATTACTTTTTTTTCAAAAATGAAAAATAATAATCTTCTGTTGTAGATATGCTATAAATTTCTAAAAATTCCTTATAATGATCATCATCATCAGAAACTGAATTAGATATTCCTTTTTGTATATTAAATATTTCTGAATTACTTTTTATTGAGTCACATATTTCATAATTAAATTTATCACATTTTTTGATTTCAAAAAAATATGTTCTTTTTTTATAATAATATGTAAAAATTTTCTGAAACTTTAACTTTAAAAAAATAATTAAATTAGATTTTTTTCACAAAAATAAAATTATTTTCAAATAAATTTTTTTTACCTTATTAATAACTTTTTGTGTAAATTATCCTCTATACTTAATATTTTATCAAAAGTTAATACATTTTTTCAAAAAATTTCTATATTATATTAATTGTAACTTTAAAAGTTTTGAATTTTTCTTCTTTTAAACTTTGTCTTTCAAATATATTAGATAATAATTCAATAGTAAATTGTAGACTTTCTAATATTTTATTTCTAATTGTGATAATTCTTTTGCTTTTTTTTTAAATATCTTTCATACTATTACATATATTAATTACTTTTTCAAATTCTTCTAATATTTCTGCATATATTAGTCCTATATATTGTATTCTAAAATTAAAAATTGACATAATTATTTCAACTGGATTTTCTATGAATATCCTAGAAAAATTCTAAAAGCTACTAAATAATCCAAATCTTTTTCTTAAATATTGCAATTAAAAAAAGTTAAAAACACAAATAAGTATCCTTATGATTTGGACCATTATTAGTATATAGCATAAGAAATAGATAATTTTTTCTCACATGTAATAAAATATCAAATAATTCTGTCATATGATATAATAAGTTAAATAGTTGAAAAATCAGATCTTTAAAACTAATATGAACTTTACCTTGATAGAAAGAATCATCAATTGAAGAAAATATATCACAACCTATTGAAATACTAGATATTAATGAACATTTAGTAAAATCATGATCACTAACAATAAAAGTTATATCTTTAATATTAATACTTATTTTTCTCTTTCTATAGCAACAACTGAAAATTCTAGTTTACTTATTTTATACCTATATTTATCATCAAAAAATACTAGCCATAAATTTTTTTTGTATTTTACTGCTAATTCTTTAAGATATCTAAAAAAAATGCAGATGCATAATGAACATTAATATATTCACATTTCAACTGACAAATTTGAATTATAAATTTTAGAAAAAGTATTCCTATATATTATAAAAATTCTTTTAAAATGGAAATTTTAGCCAAAACTAAAATCAAAACTATTGAATAGATAGTATTTTTATATTTAGTAAACATATTTTATTATTTATTTTAATAAATCTTTTGCAAAAATTGCTAAAGCAATATGAGATATTATATTATGTTTTTTTTTATCTACTACTATCACTAAATCATTTACTTTACCTTTAATATATTTTTTTGCATATTTCCAAAAATCATCATAAATTCTAGGTCTACTTTCATTCAAATGTCTTAAATCAATAATAATCTTTAGATTACTTATAATAAGTAAAAATTTTACTCTTTTGTCTATTTCTACTTCATTTGTAAATATATCTCTAGTTAAATTTTTATAAATAGTATAAATTCTAACTTTTTTTATATTACTTAAAAAAGTTTCACAAGTATTTATAAAAGCTTTTTTTTATTTGTTATAAATAATAAGTTAGTATTTTCTTTTTTAATTCAGATCTAATTAAATAATACTTATCTATTAATTTGGTTAAGTAACATTAAAATCAGTTTTCTATATATAATTAATATTTTTAATATTTCTGTGATAATAAATATAAACTTTAATTTTAAAAGGAAATGCTATTTTAAAATCTTTTATATATTTTGATTTTATAACTATAATATAAAATAAAGATGGTACTGCAACTAGTTGCAACTATGTGATACTTATTTGTCACTAGTTGCAACTAGTTACAACTTAATTTTTATTAATGTTACAACTAGTTGCAATCCTATGATGCTTATTTGTCACTGATTTTTAATATAAAATTAAATTAATAAGAGTTTTGTTTAATTGAAAATTTAATTAAATTTATTTACTTTTTTTTAAGACAGTGCAAATTTCTTTAAATTAAAATCTAATATTTAGTAGTAATTAATATATCAACTAATGGCTTAAAATTAAATAAAGATTTTTAATTAGATGAAAAATAAATTTTTATTATTCTAGTATCTACTTTATCAATTATAGGTATTTCTGAAGCATAGTTTTTCTTTACTTATTGATTTTAAATATAAAGATAATTACTATAACTTTGTAAATCTTTTGAAAATTTTATTAAAGGTTTTTGTAAAAATCAAATTTAGATTTGTATATTTAAAGTTGATTAAAATATGATTTTAAATTTGTTGCATAAAAACTTAAATCATTACAATTAAATTGAGGTCTTGCTTTTTTATTTTTTTTGAATCATATTTTCTAATAAACTGTTCAAATTCTTTAGGATTACTAGATCTTTGAAAAAAAGTATCTGGTCTGCACTTATTAATAAACTAAAGTGCATCAAATAATCAGTAATAAAATCCTTTATTCCTTTTTCTGCTAGATCTTTATTCTATCTATCTTTGTTTAATTCAATATAATTTAAAATATTTTATCTCAATATGTCTAAAGCATTAGGATTTTTTATTGAAGGTAATTTTAGTATAGAATATCTTTCAAGATTTGGGCTTTAAAATAAGTATAAAATCATGTTTCTAGCATTTGTAGTTGATGAGTTATAGCCATTTAAAGATAACAAATCACACTTGTATTTTTTTTAGTAGCCACTGTATATCATAATGAAAATTAAAATTAAAACATAATTATTTATATTATATATACTTATTTACATTGTAAAGTAATTACTAAATTAATTATTATACTAATTTAATTAGCTTAACCCGTTATACAAATAATTATACAGCTAAATATAATGATTATACTTTAATTATAAAATAATTTATAACAGCAAAAATTAATTATCTGAATTGAATAATTATAATATAAGTTCACAAGTAAACAATGATAAATTTACAGTTATTATAGGTAATGCATTAATTGATAAATTTTTATAAAATATCTATCATGTATTATTCATAGTAATTGTAAAATAATCTCTGATAACCTATAAGATTACTATCAATAATTTATATATGATAATTAAATGAGAAAGTGAAGTTAAAAATCATGAGATCCTATTTTCTTATATTTTATTTGAAAAAATATTATAATATAAAGTATCACTAATTTTTTTTATTCAATTTTTAATCAAAGATTATAAAGATAGATTAGAAAAATTACTTATCATATAATTTATATAAATATTTCTCATATTCTAAATTTTTGATAAAATTTTCATTAGTTAAATTAAATTCATTAATTTGATAATATTAGAATTTTATGGCTATTTTAGTATACCAATTCAAGTAAAAAACTAAGAATTCTATAGTCTTACTTTTATATTAATTTTTTAATAAAAATATATGTTATAATAGATAATCAAAGTCATAACTAACTTTTTTAAGATATACATATTATAATAATCATCATATTAATATAGCTATGATTTTTATTTTTATTTTAGAGTACTATTATTTCTTATTGTTTCTTAAATTTATTTTATCAATAATTTTAGTCTTTTTTGTAACTTTTATAAGCCTATTAAATAATATTATATGAAAGTTTTTTATATTATATATTATTTTATCCCTTAAACTGTAAATATAAAATTACTTATAAAATATTTTAGAAAACTTAAAATATTTTGATAAAGGAATCAGCATTCCTAATTCAGTTGATAATATCTGAGCTCTTATTATGAATTACATTGTGATAACCATAAGTTTAGGCTTCAGCTGAAGCATAAAATTAGATAATTTTTATAAGAATTTCATATGTAACAGAACATGTAAACGTATAAACTAATATACATTAAAAACTGGTAGATTAATCTGTTAATCTATATTGATCATACTTAAATACTGAGTTTTAAAGAACAAGTAAATGTAAATGAAGCTAGAGGTTGACAAAAACTTAACTATTGCTGATAGGTCTATAATGAATATTGCCTTATGTCTTCAAACTCAGAGGACTTACATAAGTAAGAAAATGGTTAACCAGTAATTAGTAGATCTAAAGTATATTACAGACTGACTCAGTAGTTATCAATAGGGTAAAATCTATAAATAATAGTAAAAATAGTATGATCTAATTCTAATTTTCAGTTAAAATCCAAGTAAGGGTCAGTTAATATGAAAAATTGGATCAAAGCCAGTTGACTGTTAGACTATAATACAGATAGCAATTCACATAATATAGATATATGTAACAAGGTTATACTATGTTCATTTATCTGAAACCTATCATACTGCACTGCTTAAGATATCTCAGATATAATATAAAATACCTAATTTAAAAATTATATAATACCCATAGGTAGTGTTATCATAAAACATTGATAGGATACTGATGGGATATAGATAAGACAGATAGGATATTTGGGATATAGTATAGGACATGTTGAGATATATAGCTGAGACAACAAATCTCTGAGACATCAAAAATAGACATCACTATTTGTAGATATTTTGTGAAATATCAAATATTTTAAGTAGTAGGATATTATAAAGTAAGGATATTATATTATAAGGGTATTTTATAATAGGAGTACAAAATATTATCCTAATTTAGTAACGTATT